GGCCGCCAGCGTGGAGCGGGCCGGTCGCCAGCCGAGGGGCGCTGCAGGTAGAGAGAACGGCGGAGCGCAGATCCCGGCCTGGCGCGGAGGCAGCTTCCGGGTGCCACGCCCCCACCCACTCCAGGCACGTGACCGCGGCGCCTCTGCGATTAAACGGGCGATGGCCGGCAGGCAGCTGTGGGGCCCACTAGTCTTCCCGCGCCCCCTCGGCGCTCCCACCACGCGGGAGGTTTCTCCCTTGACCTCGGAGGGCAGCGGCTCACGGGTGCACCCAGGAGGTGATGGTGGCGCTACCCCCAGGCCCTTGCGGATCCCCGAGGTCAGGTGCTGGCGCCATCATCCTCCAGACCCGAGTCCCTTGCGTGTGGCTCCCTCCTCCCGTCCTGGGTGTGCGGCCCGGGAATCCGCCGCGGCGCTGCTGGCGGGGCTTTATTTCGAGGAGGTTGGTTGGGCTTGTCCTGTGGGTCGGACAGGCACTTCGAATGGCTTTGCTGCCTGAAGCGGGTGAGCAGGAGTTAGAGGAAATTAAGCGGGGGTGGAGGTGGCAGCTGGGCTGGGGATGTCTCTTCATTCCTGTCCTGAGCGCTGAGTGAACTTCGCACCATTCTTTAAGATTCCAGGTGGGAGAGGGCTCGCTGGGATATGGGCAAGAGCAAGAGACTTGTTTGTTCGTGGAAGTCTAAGGACAAATGGTATCTAGACAGTTGAATATAGATACATAGATTAGATAGATAAATAGATAGACAGACAAACAGACAGACAGATAGATAGATAGAAAAGCTTTGGTGGGTAGTGATTATGTGTTGGGCTACGAACCAAAAGGTCAGCAGTTTGATACCACCAGCTGGTTCTCCTGAGAAAGATGAGGCTCTCTACTTCCATATAGTGTCTTGGAAACCCACATGGGGAGCTTCTACCCTGCCTTATAGGGTCACTATGAGTTGGTATTGACTGGATGGCTGTGAGATTTATATATATATATATATGATAATAAGTAATATCTATATTAATATCATATTAGAGATAATATGATTGTTACATAGATTGGTCTGAAGCACATCAGAGGGGCTGTTGGGACTGGAGATGTGAATTGAAGAGTTGCTGGCAGGTACAGGTGGCACTGGGTCTCCTGGGATGGGATGAGACAGGGACACAAAATGAAGAGCGCTCCTAACCACCTTTTAGAAACCAGGACAAGGGCTGCCCTGCAGGAGCAGAAGCAGGAAAGCCAAGCAAGTGTGTTGTCTCTGACCACGGTGGGAACAGTTAAGGCGCTTTCTTTAAAAGTTAGAACTAGAAACACCAGAGGACCCAGTTGGACTGTGAGCCTCAAGGTCCATAGTTTGAAACCTCCAGCCAACTCCGAAGAAAAATGAGGCTGTAAACAGTGACAGTCTTGGAAACCCAGGGGTAGTTCCACCCTGGGCCTCTAGGGTCACTGTGAGTTGGCATTGACTCAATGGCAGTGAGTTTGTTTGCTTTCTAAGCTGGCAATCCCACTCACAGTGCGTGTCCTAGAGAAACAAGAGCAGTGACACGAAAAGTCATGCGTACACATACTGCCTCAGAGTGTATTGTGTCCACGTAAATCAGTGGTTCTCCACAGTCCTAATGCCGTGACCCTTTCATACAGTTCCTCCTGTTGTGGTGACCCCCCCAACCATAAAATTATTTTCGTTGCTACTTCATAGCTGTAATTTTGCTATTGTTATGAATCGGGCGACCCCTGTGAAAGTGTTGTTGGTCTTTAGGAGTGTTTTCCAGTCCAGTCTGTTGGGGCACCATGCCCTAAAGGCCAACGATCCTTGAAGTAACTACAAGCTTTTCTTTCTTGTTGTGTTTTGATTTGTTCTTTGTCAGTGGTTTGTTGTTGTTGTTGTTTTGTTGTATATTATTGCTTGGTTTTGCTCTGTCTTGTTTTTGTCCATGTTAGTATATCCGCAGGTCTGTCTAAATAAGATAGGCTGGATGAACAATCTGGAGGAGAAAACAATGGGACCAACAGTTCCGGGGGGGACATGTTAGAGGGGGAAGTGGGGGGAAAGGAAGTGGTGTTAACAAACCCAGGGACAAGGGAACAACAAGTGATCCAAATTGGTGGTGAGG